ATTCAATTTCTTCTTGAGACACAAGCTTCCTTCTGTATTTCTGAGGTAATGTTTTTATAATTTCTGCAGTGTCTGGTGGACCCTGATGCATCAGCAAATCTGGTGATTTACTTCCCTTAGAATGCTGTGAAATTGAAGAAGAGTGAGATGGTAGTCTTGCTGATCTCAAAACTTCTGATACATTGGGTTTAGGATTGTCTCTTCTGTCAGGGAACCTTATTAATGGAGTATGTGGCTTGACTACCTGAACGACCCTGCTGGCAGACGCCATCTTGCTGCCCATCATGACCCCGAGATGGGGAGGCTTCCGGGTCGCTTGCTAGCTGCAGAGATTCTCTCCTTCTATTTTGAATGACAGCCTTGCTGGATAGAGGATTCTTGGCTGCATATTTTTACTGTTCATCACATTGAAGATCTCCTGCCATTCCTTTCTGGCCTGCCACGTTTCAGTAGATAGGTCTGTCACCACTCCGATAGGTTTCCCTTTGTATATTAGAGCCCTTTTCTCCCTAACTGCTTTCAAAATTCTCTCTTTGTCCTTGTATTTTGCCATTTTTACTATAATATGCCATGGAGAAGATTGATTCAAGTTATGTCTGAGGGGAGTTCTCTGAGCCTCTTGTATTTCAACATTTACTTCCTTCCCCAGGTCGGGGAAGTTCTCTGCTATAATTTGTTCAGGACTCCTTCAGCACCTTTCCCTTTCTCTTCCTCTTCTGGGATTCCTATGATACAGATATTGTTGCATTTGACCGTATCGCTGAGCTCTCGAACTCTTCTTTAATGTTCCTGGATCAGTTTGTCTCTTTTTTTTTGTCAGTTTTTTGTTTTTCTATAATGGTGTCTTGTAAACCACTTATTCTCCTTTCTGCCTCTTCAATCCGTGCATTGGAGGCCTCTAATTTATTATGTATCTCATTTATCAATTCTTCATACCTATTTTTATTTTCCATTCTGTCTGTAGCCATAGTTTCTTTGATGTCCCCTAAATTTTTTTTCAAGCCCAGCTATTAATTTTACCATTATTATTCTAAAATCTTGTTCAGTAATGCTGCTTATATCTGTTTTGAGCAGTTCATTAGCTGTCATTTCTTCTTGGAGTTTCTTTGCAGGAGAGCTCTTTCGTTTCGTCATTTTAGTTAGTTTTCCGGCTCTTGTTGGCTTTAAAGACCTGTTATGCTCTCTGTACCTCTGAGTGCTCTTGTATCCAAGAAGACTCTTTGACTGCCCAGGGCCTATCCTTTCAGAGAGTGTTTTTTGAATGGTATCTCTTGTCTCTCTTGTTGGGACCTTGGTTATTTTATTTTTCTATTCGTAGTGATATTTGGGACTCTCCACCTTGTGTACTCTGGCTTGTTTCTTGAGGTAGCCCTGGAAAAGAAAACAGACAGACAAACACACAGGGAGCAGGAGCACACAAACGCACAGGTTAATTCAACTAACATGCAAAGCGAGAGGGAAAATGAAAAAGTTAAGAGAAAAGACAGAGGTGGGAGGTCAAATAATAGAGAGTATAAAATACATAAAAGGGTCAAAAAGGAGAAAAGAAAAGGAAAAAAGAAGAAAACCAATGGACAAAGAACGGTTTAAAGCATATAGCCAGATTTCCCAGCTACAGTTAAATAGCCGTGTGTATGCAGTGCTGGTTGAAGAGCATAGAGAAAGAGAGAGTAGACAGGGCAGGAATGAGGCAAAATTGGAAATAGAAGGAACAGGCAGAAGGGATACGAAGCTTTTTGCAAAGAGCTAAAGGGTAGAATATGGTTGGATAGGTGAGAGAAGGAGGCTGGTATTATCCAGAGAAACTATATAGTCTAATTAGTCCTGAGAGAAAGAGATGAAAATGTCAGTAGGTGTAGAATTTACATCTACAGAATGGACTCGTTGTGATTGTTTAAGCAAGCCGGTGACCAGAGTTAATCAGGTCAGTGTTCTGGGGAAAAAAGAGACAAAAGAGAAAGAAGAAGAAGAAAAAAAGGGAGGAGCGCAGCTCTCAAGTAGGGATGGGCGTTTGTGATCCAATGCCTCAGGTGGGAGCTCTGCCTTGACGGTTGTGGGGAGGAGAGTGACAGTGCTCCAGTCCCTTCTTGAACCAAGCGCTGCACCTCACTCTTTTGGGCCTGTAAACTCCCTGTACTGGGGCGCAGCCAAAGTTGGTTGCACTCTTCAACTCTGGCCAGTCCCAGTCTCCAAATCCCAGTCTGCGCACCCCGCTGAAAGTGCCTTAGACACAACTTACCAGGCAATCCCCTCGGGGCAATTCCAGGCCTCCTGCCTGGCTCTGGGGGCGGAGTCAGAATTGCTGCTTCCTTCTCTGGGTCGGGCTGGAGAGCATGGGTGGGGGCTTGCCTGCCCTGTGCGCGCAGCCCCCTGGAGTGAGGAAAACGAGGTTCCTCTATGGCTTGTCACCCGAAACACGAACTCACAGGCAAACTTCCCAGTTTTTAGCTCTTTGCCTTCCCTCTAGAGTTCCAGCCAGTCAGGAGTGCGGATGCTGGGTGTCTGCGCGCAGCTCTTCCAGGGGCCCAAGCCAGCCAGGAGGACAATGGCGGCAGGCGCGCCGCTACTCTAGAAGTCCGGCCAGCCAGGAGCAAGCACAAAGGAGCAGTCTGTGTGCTCAGTCCCTCCGGGACCAGTTGGAGCGAGGGGACCCGGCGTGCAGGTATTTGGCAAGTACGGTCTTTCTATGCCCCGAGCAGAGGTTTTTCCCCTGAGCGGAGGTTATTCTGTTTCGGACTCTCTCTTTTTCCCCTCTCACTCCCCGTAGAGGGGGATTGCCTCCGCCCCTGGAATCTCTGATCCCGGCCCAATTTTATCTTCCCCAGTTCGCACTCACGTTAGAAGGCTTTCTCAGTGGATTCTGTGTCATTTTTCTCCCAATCTCTCAGGTTTTGTAAGGTTTCCAATGGCTTCAGATCTTTTCCATGTGATGTATGGGCGCGAGTGCAAGTATGGAGCTCCTTACTTCTCCGCCATCTTGCCCCTCCCCTGATTTAAATTATTTTTAATGTTTATTCATTTTTGAGAGACAGTGTGAGTGAGGGAGACGCAAAGAGAGAGGGAGACACAGAATATGAAGCAGGCTCCAGGCTCTTAGCTGTCAGTACAGAGCTGGACACAAGGCTCAAACCCACAGTGTGTGAGATCATGACCTGAACTGAAGTCAGAAGCTCAATTGACTGAGCCACCCAGGTGCCCCTAAATTGGTGTGATTTCAATGGTTTCTTTTTGGTTTATGGTCCTCACCTCCTCACTGGTCAAATTACTTCCCAGGGACATGACACCAATCACATGGAGAATAAGGGCATCATAACACAGTCTCATCTCCCCCATCATGTCTGTTATCATTGTCATATATTGGGTTGTTTTTTTTTTTTTTCATTTAAACAGTTGAGGATTTTCTACAGATAACCATAAAAATGTGTTTATATTGGGGCGCCTGGGTGGCTCAGTCGGTTAAGCGTCTGACTTCACCTCAGGTCATGATCTCACAGTTCGTGGGTTCGAGCCCCGCTTCTGGCTCTGTGCTGACAGCTAGCTCAGAGCCTGGAGCCTGCTTCGGATCCTGTGTCTCCCTGTCTCTGACCCTCCCCTTCTCACACTGTGTGTCTCTCTGTCAGAAATAAATAATACATAAAAAAGATGTGTTTATCCTTATCCATGTACTTAGGAAATCTGATACTTTATCACTTTCCCTCTGTCTGTCTTTCCTTCTGTCCAAGGGGTGTCCTTTACTGTTGCTTTGCTGAGGGTGTGTGAGTAATCAGTTCTGTGAAGTTTGCAGTCTGAAAAAGGTTTAGTTTATCTTACCTTTTCAATGACGTTTTCTATGGGTAAAGGCCAACGTTGAAAGAAATTTTCTTAGGATTGTGAAGACATTACTCCCCTGTTCACTTGCTTACACGGCTGTAATGAGAAATAAGCTGGTTCCTCTGTAGGGAATGTGTCCTCTCTGACTGTGAGAGTGTCTGTATCACTCGTTTGTAGTAATTTTATCACAATGTGTTCTATGCTGTCTCTCATGTTCCCTGTGCCTGAGCTTTATTGAGTTTCTTATATGTATTAGTGTATGAATTTCACCAAATTTGAAGGGATTTTTGCTATGATTCTTCAGTTATGTTTTCGGCACTAGCTGGTCTCTAGCTTCTCACATTTTCTTTTTTTTTAATTTTTCAATTTTTTAAAAAAAAATTATTTCTGAGAGAGAGGGAGAGAGAGACAGCATGAGAAGCAGAGGGTCAGAGAGAGAGGGAGATACAGAATCTGAAATAGGCTCCAGGCTCTGAGCTAGTTGTCAGCACAGAGCCTGACACAGGGCTCGAACCTACAAACTCTGAGATCATGACCTGAGCCAAAGTCGGACGCTTAACTGACTGAGCCACCAAGGTGCCCCTCTTTTCCACAATTTCTAAGTCGCACAAATTTAAGGATGAGGGAAGTTGTCCTACACATGTTAAGGTTTTATTGACTTTTTGTAGCTTTTCCCCTCTGTTATTCATTTTGAATACTTTTTATTGCTATGACATCAAGTTCACTGATCTCATTTTGTACCATATAATCTGTTGCTAACCTCATCCAATGTTTGGATTTATTTTGTTTTTCCTATGTCAGATCATGTTGTTTCTGTTAGGGAAGTTGTAAAAGTTTTGGTCCTTGATAAATGACCTCTATATGTTCTTATAACTGGTTGAGTCATATACACACCCACAGAAACAAATGAACTATATTTATAATCACTGTGCATATTATCTGCTGATCTACCTTCTTCAGGGCTGCCTGGAGAGTAGGGTGGGGACCTCAGATCTGGGGACTTAGCTAGACCCACTCATTGCTTTGTGCACAGGCCCCCTGGTGCTGGAGGAGAGTGTAACACAGATGGGGAGGGGGTTTGTTTCTCACTTTCCATCTGCCTGTGTCACTATGAGCACTATCACTATCCCACACCTGACAGTAATATTCAGTCTCGTTGTCAGCCCGGGCCCTGCTGATGGTCAGGGTGGCTGTGTTCCTCGAGTTGATGTCTGAGAATCTGTTAGGGATCCTTGGGGGCCTTTTGCTATTCTCATAGATAATCAGCATAGGGGCTTGGCCTGGCGTCTGCTGGTACCAGTAGCATTTTAACCTTCAATGTTGTTTCCCCCAGGTGATCCTGGCTGTCTGTGACAGACTCACAAACACTGAAGGTGGCTGAGTCAGCACATAGGAGGCCACAGAACCTGCAATAGAGAAAAGGAAAGGTGGTTTTCCAAACTAGGTCTCATCCTCAGGAGTACCCCACATGCCTGGCCTGAGTTCCAGGGATTCTCTGGGTTTCCAATTTCCCAAGT